CCTCTCCTCTTACTTCCTACCTTCATGGGTTGGGTGAATCACTAACACAACCCTCCCCAATTCAGATCTCATCGAGGCAAATTTCTAATTAATAAATCATTCATTATATTTCAAATAATTAAATAAAAATTTTTATACCTTTATGAGCAAACTCAGCAAAAATTTAGTAGCTAATGAATACGTTTTAGAATTCTCTTGATTATAAATGTCTCAGCTTCTTTAACCTTTAAAAGATTGTAATGCTTGTAGTTGTTTTCATTTAAAAAGATGGGGAAAAGAATACACTTCCACTCCCCTTTGAGCTGAAAGTGCAAAGACTTTTGAAACCTTTCCTTCAGGGGGTCACTTTTGTTAATTTTCAGATGAGATACTAGGGAATACAATGGAACGTTTTCTATTTCCTGCTGACTGCTTTCCCTAAACTAGGGAAACCCACAAATTTGCTATTTCATAGTGGAATGATGGAACATTAACTCTTGCAAACACTGTCTTACATAGAAAATAGGCCTGAGTAGCAAATATTTCTTAGGTATGCTTAACATCAATACATATTATTCTAATCAGTTTTAATTTGTTTTTCAAACTGAATATAGTTTAAAATTGCATGTATTGATTAATAATTTTAATTTACACATCAAAATAAATTTTTACCATTTGCTTCATGCACGAATAAGCATTCAATTTTATGAAAAATCGAGTAACAATTTTAGCTATATACACACACACACACACACACACACACACACACAAACAATTAATCAATACGGTTTAGGAAATAATTATATATATATATATATATATATAACAAATCCCTCTGCATTTTAATGATATACAGTCAAAAGTCATTAATCTGGACTCGTCGGGACTTCGGCGATTCCGGATTATAGATCATTAGTTTAAATCTGGTAAGATGGCATGCAGAAATTATAAAATTAAAAATATGAAACCGTAATTTATGAAATAAAGAACAATTATGATCTAAAGGGTATCAAAATTTACAAAAAAAAGCTTAATATTTATTTGTTTACTTGATTAAACATTTCTTTCAATGTAAGTTGTTTAAGTTGCTTCGTTTAATGTGATAATACTTTCTCTTTAATTCTATAAACAGACATAATTTCTTGTTCAGTTACAAAGTTCCTCTGTTCAAGTCCTATAATTGCTGTGTCGAGAATACCGACTAATTTGTCAATCGAAATTTTTTCGTTTTCACTAACCTCTGTGTTACTTTCTTCACTATCGGAAGCGAATTATAATGACGAGGAATTTGATTTAAATCATATCAAAGACGGAGTACATTGAGATGAAATACTACATTTAGTAAGGAATTATAAGCCAAATAAAATAAAAACATCTGCCCTGAAGATAAGGATAGTGCTGACAGATCAACTTCCAATTCATTGCGTGCTGCGGTGTTCACCCCCCCCCCCCGCCACAGAGCAGTGTGAAATTGATAAACAGATTTTGGAATGGTTAGATAAACAAAGGATATGCCTTTATCCATTTTTTTGCAGCAATTCCACTTTTTGTTTAATGGACTTAGAAACATACCTTCGTTTTGTAGATCCTTTACATATTAGTAAATATATATCAGAAATTCTATTTGACATAATCGAAAGTTCAAGCCTACTTTTATAAAATTGCTCTAACAGTCTGCAAAAAATAATAAGCCGGATCCAATTCGAAGATTAAGGAACAATGCAATCTGCAACGTTAACCGAATTAGATAATTTTCAGCTTAGCTTATACCGTACTTTATACATTAAATGCGTATGCGTAAACGTATTATGCGCATGCGCACACGCATATTCGCAGCCGTAAAGGTGTTACGCGACGCATGCGCAGAAAGTTTGTAGCTTTGAGGTCTGGATTATAGATTATTCTGGATTATGGGTGTCCGAATTAACGACTTTTGACTGTATATATATAACAAATCCCTCTGCATTTTAATGATATTAGCAACTTTTTCTTTTTAATATTTAGTTAAAAAAATTATTGATTTTTTTCGCATTGCATTGTAACAAATATTCCCTCATTCAAGCCATCACTATTAATTTTTCTTTCTTACATTTTTGTGATAATAGCTTTCTTTTTTAATGTGTATATTCTTTTAAATATTATCCTTTAATTTTTTAAAAAATATGTTTTTGATAATATTTTCATTGTATTGCATTACATTTTGCATCTTTCAAATGGTAGTATAAGTGAAGAATTTTACAGAGCAAGTAAATTACGCTGAAAGTTTTTTGCACCGAGCTAGCATTCCACCATTGAGGGAAAACAAAAGGGAATTTCTAAAACCCTATAGTTGTGAGCAGTGCAAATCTCGTTGAAGTAGGGGCAAAAAAGAACATCGGACAATAACTACAATAACTATCCTCAAAGTCTGAGAGGTTAGAAATTTGCTAATATTTCGATCGGAGGGTAAAAAAAAAAAATTTTTTTTAAGACATTGCAACTCTGATCTATATTTCAGTCACTGTCTTCATAGTGTTTATTTGTTGCAATTTAATTTCACTCCTCTCCTTTCTAAAGTTATGTTATTGGGTGAAACCTTGGCTCGACTCTGATTAAACATATGCATAAAAGATATCTAATACAATTATGTACAAAAAATGTCTTAAGATTAAACATTTACAGAAAATTTCAGCAAAAAGCTTTATAAGAATTTTTTAAGTAATCTTATTTAAGCCTATATCATTATGAAAAGCTTCCATTGGATCTCTTCAGTTTTCAGGAAAACATGCACTATTTATGTAAAATAGCTGATTGCTGTCTGTCCCCTTCATAGCTTTTCTCATTTGGAAAGTGAATGTCTTTAGATTGTAAGGTAAACATGCTAAAAATGTTAGCATGTGAAATCAACACTTGTTATAATGGCTGTTTATTACAATGACCAGTATGAAAGGCCTATATTAGGTCACAGAAGTCTAGGTATTAAGCCTATGTTAAGTATTAGGAGACTATAACACGTCAGTTTTTGAAATAACTAGCATTCGTTATTATGTAGCTTTTTTTCTATGCAATGTAAGAAATTCAAATATACTTACATCAAACCATTATGAATCATATCAAATAAAATATAATTATCAGTTTTTTAAAAAACTTATGAAGCAAAGAAACTTGCATATTTTTCCCCTAAATTTATGAGACCCAGCAGTAAAATCACTGAACACTGGTAGCTCCGGCCTGGTTTCGAAAACAGATGAATAGGGTGGCTGCATGGGCATTTTCATGGTTTTCCCATGTATAACATATACATGAGCCACTTTTCCTTAGAAAGTCCTCCAGGAAGATTTGGTTTGGTTTATTAAATTATAGCAAAGCACACTAGGGCTATCTGCCTAAGGGGAGGGATGCCTTTGTGAAGGACTTTCTAAGGGGTACTGGCTCGTATACATGTTACACATGGGGAAAACCACGAAAATGCCCATGCAGCCAGCTCGTTCATGGGATTCGAACCTCAGACCGAACTACCAGTGTTCAGTGACTTTCCCTCTCAGCCGCTGGTGGGCCTCCTCCGGGAAGGTATTCCTTCCCTAAGGCAGATAGCCCTAGTGTGCTTTGCTGTAATAAACTAAACCTAAGTCTAAAATTATATATACAACTAATATTTAAATTAATTTGTGTAAGAAGAGTTATAAACTATTCAGTTCTGACAACTGAAAAAAAAAAAAAAAAATGTAAACTGTGAAAGTAAGAAACATGAAGAGAAAGAAAGAGAGATTTTAATCCTTCTTAAAATTTTCTTCCAAACTAATCAATTATTATTATTAGATAAATATAAACAAATTGTATAATCAAGTTTTAAAACACAAACTGGTGTGTAGTCAGTCTACAATGCCTACAAGAAGTAGCAATTTTTACCTCAGCCAATTCATTCTTTTCAAATTTAAGAGAAAATTTGACACATGGCTGCAATATAAAATCATTTCCTAAAACTGGCAGTTCTGGGAATTTCAGTTTTAGGAAATGATTTTTCTAAAGGATGAGTCTTTCATTTTTGCTATTTTTTTTCATGTGCTTGCCTCAATAAATTCAAAACTTGTTCTCACAATAAACTCAAGCAACAGTCTGGCTGCAGTTATAACTAATAACTTGAAATCTCTCCTCTAGAAGGAAATCAAAACAAAAGCATTCAGCATTTTTTTCTGTTATATTTAGTTGAAATCTGGATACATGCAAACACTGAATTCTGCTGTTTTACCTGCTTCCAAAGGCCCCCCATCTATCCCTTATATATATATATATGTATAATATATATATATATATATAAGGCAAGTATATATATATATATATATAAGGCAAGTAGGGGGCTCTTAAAAACTTTAAAAAAGACAGATTCTCTTCTTTTAAGTTTAAATGTATAAATGCAGTTCAGCAAGACATTTAAAGGCTCCTAAGCCTTCGAGCAGCTATTTAATGGCATTGCTTGCATACCCTTATTTTACACAACAGATCGAAATATTCTTTGAGGATCGTCAACGTCGCTAGGGCTGTTGTGAATGCTTTTGGCCATATTTCACCTTTCTGCACTAACTTCTGGACAAAACAACAACAAGAGAAATGCATGATTGCTTACTATAATTATTTCATGCAGTCACAATGCTTTAGCATTTTGATGCATAGCATTTTTGCTACAACAGTGCAACTAATACATTAAAAAGAAAACGAAGCAGAAAAACTTTTTAGAAGATATAAAAAGATTCACTAGGCTATTAGCCGCTAAAGAAAAATTTTCATGATTTTTTATTTGGTCTCTGTTTTCCTGCCACACTAAACAGTTTGCAAGAGGGTAGACATTGATATTTTCTTTTGAATGTTTCATCAATTTAGCAACAGTATGCTCCCAAATAACACTATCTACAGATTGCGTTTCTTGTGCAGATTATTAAGTAAAGAATGTATGCTATGAATTTAAACTAAAACACCAACTAAAAAGTTGCAGTATTGAAATTATACATGTTCATAATATACACAATTCATGTTTTTATAGTTACCTTTGGGATAATCCTCTAATAATAAATTAAAATGTCCAAGTTTAGAGTAAATTTTTATATGTATTTCAACATTGGACTGTTCCTCTGTGCTCTTCACTGACTTTAAAACAGACTGACTAGACCAACTGTTTTCATTATCAGGAAGTGGATCTGATGTTCGAATTGCAGACATCTTTTCAGATATTTTCTCAATCTGTTTCTTATTTGATGAAGATAAGTCATTTTCCTTATTCTGGTGATGATTAATTAAGACTCGTTCAAGACATTTAACAGCCTAGAATAAAATATGTTGATCAGTAAATAAGAAATAGCAAAAAACTGTTTTGTTACACATTTACTATACTGAAAATGTATAATAATAATCACAAAATTAAAATAAAAGTTCAAAGTAACTCTTTTACATAAAAGTAATTCTTTACAAAACTCTTTATTCAACGTAACTCTTTTTTTTTTTTTTTTTCTTTTTCTTTTTTTGGTAAACATGTTTCTTGATGCACTTATTGTATTATACTCTCCACGAGATGGTGACACATAATGAAACTCACAGACTGAATCACGCTGGATATTCATGAACAAAGATTGTACAATCACTTAGTTTCACAGCTTAAACACTTGCTAATTCACTGATGCAGGATCTCTTAGTTTCACAGCATGAACAGTCCTTCAGCATGCCGTAAAATTGAAAGTTACAGCGCATGACCTCGGGAGACCATGAATGAAAAGAGAGAAAATATGACAGCAACGTAAACACTATACATGTCTAGAGAATTTTTATCTCCAATAATAACTTCAAAGCTAGGTAAAACATATTACTCAACCTTCCTCTGAATCGTCATTTACATAACGTGGTAACATCTTTGTAGTATATCCTGCATATATTATTATGGGAAATTCATGTATATATGTAATGTCATAGAAAATATTGATGGCATATATAGTGATCTATAATGAACAGCAACTTGGCAGCCCAAGCAGACTAAATATTCATTTTTATTTCAACTGATATTTGCAGCCACAAATAACTTGGCACTCTAATTGTGCTTACAGAGTATTAACATTTTTGATACTGTTTCAATACTCAGCACCTTAGTTGCAAGAGAGGTAGAAACAAAGTGCATAGTTACTGAATATGGAAGCTTATTAAGAGAAAGGTTTTGATTCTAAAAATTGAAATCAATCTGTGACTGGCTATATGATTCCAGCATTACACCTTATGTAAGACCATATGAAACAGAATAATTTTGATAGATGCAATCCAGAAAAAGTTATTACTATTTTTAAAATCGAGAATGGAAATGCAGAAACTAAAATAAGGAATAAAGGGGCTTTGATAAATAATATTGATTTATATATTTTTTATTAATTAAATTATGATTTTTACTGTTATTACTCTGTGATGTTCTCATTCTTTCTATATCTCTGAACCTTGTGAGTTTTTCACGTATACACATTTGACATATATTCATGACGTGAAAAATGAACTACACACTCATTCCAAAGTAACAAAAAATATATTTATACTTTTTACACAATATAGCAATTTTTCAGAGTCACATGATACATTTCTACATTCTTAACATGATATGCGCATTATGTTTAACAGCATACTCAAAGAGAACCATTGAATATAACGACTACATTTCAGTTCAAAAAGTTCTTGCCTCATCACAACATGCATGCCGCACTCTCCCGTCCACACTTCTTCCCCCCCTTGGTTGCCAGATACCCCTTTCTTCTCTGATCGGGGTGGCTGGGCTTGCCAAACTCTCCCGCAGGACTAGGTTGGGAGCTTCTTTAAATCGAGCATATACATGACATGCCTCTGCCAAGATGAAAGTTGTCCTTTCCTGGAGACATGTTTCATTACCCAAAAAAACATAATTGTTAATGTGATTCTTACACAATAAACAATACAAAAGATTATGACACTATTAGTTGAACAAAGGAAGAAACATTGCAAACATACAAAAAGCACCAGCAGAGCACAAAGGAAAAAAATATATGTAAATAACCCTTTGCTTATTATATCTGATCCTGTGCGTCCCTAGTCGGGCTGGTGGAACTGGACATGTAAACAATGTCTGATATTGCCTGAGTAAACTTGTCTAGTCCTCTGAATAAAACTTAAATTCAACATTTCTAACTCCTCCAGGCATTCTGAGAAACTCCTCCGTCCTTTGATAACCAGAGAAGATTCCATTTCCCCAAACTCCTCTTCTCCCTCCAAGATAACATTCAATGCTTGTGATCAAACTATGCAAGGTCTGATCTTGTTCTGATGAAAATGCCTTTTGGTGCCATCTTATATTTCTGCTATGAAGGAGTAAGAAACCCTCTGCTCTAATATATTTGCAGGACCTTGCCAAATTGCATACAGTTTGTTATTAGAATCAGGAATTAGAATCAGGAATGTTTTATTGAAATAACTCAAATTAAAGTAGTGTGCTGTTCTCTCTTGTTGAATTCTAGCAGTGAGGTTTGCCTGTCCAGCTTCTCCAATTTAGTTTTTAGATTCTGTAAATACATGTGAATAGCAGTCGCATCTAATTGTTAATTTCCATGTTTCTCTGTCCATGTGGACTTGAAGGCCCCTGAGGTGTCATGCCATACATGAGTTTAAATGGGACAACCCCTGTAAGGAATCTGTAAATGCCACCCTCTACGTTCTTCCCTGATGACATGATGCAGCATTCTTTTTAAAGTAACACGGAACCATTCCATTAAACCATTAGATTGTGTTGAAAAGTTGTAAGTTGAAAAGAGTTGTGTTGAAATTTCGAACTAGCTCTTATTCGTCTCTCAAACTCTTAAGTCTGCTTTAAAATTGGTTCCATTGTCCCATGCAATTACATTTGGGATGCCTGCTCTTGAAAAAATGTGTAACAATGCCTCACAAGTAAATATGGATGACAGGTTCATTAGAGGTACTGCTTCTGCTCACCTGGTATGTTGGTCTACCATGCACAGTGTGTACTTATGGCCCTTAGAGCTGGGAGAATCAATTGGACCTATCTCAACAATGTTTACAATTTGGAAGTGCAGATCAAGCCTTGTTACAGGAGTGATCGATGTCCCATCAACAGTTTTAATTTGTCTGGTCAACAGACATTCTTTGCATGCCTCACAAAACTTCTGAACATCCAACCTCAGACCTTACCAATAAAAGGAATATCTAATCCTCTCCAACGTCTTCTTAACCTTCATGTGGCCACCAAATACTGAACAATGTGCTAATTGTAAAATTTCCTCCCTCAGACATTTGGGTACAGCTTTCCGCAGACTTTCCCCAAGAATCTTATCTTTACGAAAGAGAAAGTTATCAGATGTATAATAATTCCCTTTTCCTTTCTGAGCTTCTCCCAAGCTTCTACCAGAGATTCACAAGTCTCCTGCTCTCTTCTAAATATGTCTGCAGTACATACTCCTTCAGACTGAGTTTCCTTGTTTTTATTCAATTCCGCATCCTCCTTTCCGCCCAATTTCTTCCCTCACAGCTGGCCACCTCCAGCTTCCCTGAATTTACCATCACATTAGACTTCTTCTACCTCTCCAAGTTGCTTGTGGCCCCTTTATACAAGTTTTCAATCCCTTCACCTATGCCATGTAGCTGACCTCCTCACATGGCAAATACCTTAGAAAGAAGAAACATATTCTCTAATAGTGACTCTGAAACTGCACACAATATCTCTTGATGTGTGACAATAGTGCTTTCTCCCACAGGGATACTCAAGGGAATGTTTATCAAAGAGGAGCTCGAGCAAAAATACCCTTCAAATATATAGTCGATACTTCCTCGAGTTGCAGACCTTTAGTTAGCTCTTTACTCATTGTAATCTCTGTCCCTGAATCCACGAGAGTCTTCCCCATTGCGCCATTCACACTAACAGGAACTCTTTTCAACTTACAAAGCTGACAGCTGTTTACCTTCTTTGGCTTCCTCAAGGGATCTACATGAGCTACCACCACCTTGTCCTCAAGGAGATCATTGTCCTGAAATTTTTTCCATAAAATTTACCCTGGCTTTATCATTTCCCTCATTTGAGTTGTACTGTCTGCTGCTTTTAACCTGAGGGCAGTTCCTTTTAAAATGTGAAGTTGAACCACATACAAAACATTTTAAAATTTTCAAGTTACCTGTGCTTTTCCATACACCAGCTATGGCCTCTGGCATCCAACTAGTTTCTCATCCAATGCCCGATTTACATTCTCAGTTTCACTAACTTCCTTTAGCAGCAAAGAATATATCGCACTCTCTTCCCAATTCTCTTGGGTTGAACCACAAGCCTCCCTGCCTTATACCTACATATACAGCAGTTTCTGTATCAAGGGTGTGGTAGATTTTGTCTGCCACCACCAACTGATTAAGATCTTCAAAGTCTGTCAAACCCCTTGATTTTGCATAATTTTCTCACATTGTAGTTAATTGTTTAGAGAGCTGACCAAAAATCTCTTCGAATTCCTCTTTGCTTTCCTGAAGTTATCTAAAGATGCTTGAGGTGAAGGTTTAAATTTTCTTAGCACAGCTTTCTTGATTTCCTCATAATTCCCAAAATCATCCTTGCTTATCAATGTTAACAAATTTGCTGCCTTATCTCCCAAGAGATAGGCCCACCAGTGGCCGAGCGGTAAAGTCGTTGAACACTGGTAGTTCGGTCCGAGGTTCGAATCCCGTGAACGGGCTGGCAGCATGGGCGTTTTCATGGTTTACCCCATGTGTAACGTGTATATGAGCAAGTTTCCCTTAAAAAGTCCTCCACGAAAACATCCCTCCCCTTAGGCAGATAGCCCTCGAGGCTTTACCATAATCACACACACACACACTCCCAAGAGATAAATTAAAATTTTGGCCTTGTGTTCCTTAAAAACATTTTCATTAACGTGAGCTCTTTCTAAACTGGAAAAGAAATAGTCCCAGCCATCTGCTCTACTCAGAACTTTTACTGTCAGTAACCTTATTGTTCTGGTTAATGCTTCTACTGATCTTTCCTTCTCTGTTTGTGTAGGACTTCTGTTCAAGTAACAATCCTGTATGTCTATTTTATACTTGTCAATGGCAATTCTTTCCTCTGCCTCTAACTTTAATTTGCATTCCCGTTCTTGCCTTGAATCTATATCTGCAAAGATAACAATAATAACACTCAGCAGATCCTTTGCTATCTGCTGTAATGAAATTCTAGATCAAATTTGAATCATTCATAATCCAAATTGAGATGCATGGCCTGGAGGGTTTTACATAAATTTTAATTAAACTTAATATTTACATATATACAATGTAGGCTAAAATGCCTGAATCAAATATTAAGGCTCAAAAAGCAAGAACTGAATAGTTCCATCAAAGAATTTAAATCAAATTATATTGTGTACTGCATCGAAGTCTACCTTCAAGAAGAATATTTTTTCAAGTCACGTGTTCAGAAGGGGAACGATTAAGTAAGCCAATAGATGGTCTTCTAACGCCATCTCTTGGGGATATCAAAGAATATTCCTTAACACACTCCCCAACTGAACTCTGACAAGAGTTCATTTAACTCAATAGTTATACATACAATCAAGTACGTAAATCAATATTCTTTAAAATACAAAAAATTCTAATTACTTAAAAGCTTCAATCACAAAACAGGTTATACACAACATTATCACATAATAAATGTTATAACTAATAAATGAACTAAATTTTAAAAATATTTTCAACTTAACTAAACAAACTTAACCAACAATATTCAATTTAATAATTAATAGGAAAAAAAGAGAAATGCACAACAAAATCATTAAAGTTCAATTTCTTTTTTTTAAAGTTCAAGAGGATATATAGATGTTGAACAGTACGTTTTAAAGTCCCATTACCAGTTTTTAATTTGAATGATCGGACTTTACCATCAGGTCCAAGAATAGTTTTTATGATTCTACCAAGTTTCCATAAGAGTTTGCTTTTATTATCTCCTTCAATTAAAACAAGAAATGGGCAGTTCTAAGATCTAATAAATATTGCTGCTTCTATTTGCCCCACAACTGTTCTAATAGCAATTCTTGATAACGCTTTCTTTTTAACAGCATTTCTCTTGTCGTTTCGCTACTGTTGATTCTAGCAAAAGTCAAAGGATACTTCAAATCAGTTTGTCCAATGTTTAGGAAGTGCATTGGAGTCAAGGGTTGTGGCTCGTCATTGTCGTTGTAAACGTAACTTAGAGGTCGTAAATTAAGAACTGACTCCACTTCAACAAGTAGTGAATTTCTCGAAGTCAACAATGCTTTTCTATGATTTTCTTAATTTTAAAATCTACAGTTCTTAAACCCCCCCATGACGTTAAATCCAAGATTCTTTGAAAATTCTGATTGTCTAGACGGGACTTTTGTATTTAATAACAAAGATTATCATCACAAAGATATTTACTTTATTATACATTTATTAATCATTTTGTTGCTGTAGAGGAGCGATCTGGCTCCAAAACATTTTAAATTCTCAATCACAAAGCTGTAAGATCTGTTACAGCAAGTACACAAAAGAAAAGAATACTGAATTCAAATTACGTAGGTCGAGAGTATAACGCGCTAGCAGCGCCTCCTGTCGGCAGCTCTTAATCACTACTGAACATACTCCCGACCTTGAAACCTTACGGGTTTCAAAATATTATTACAATTAGTATACACTATTTTAAAGCACAATAACAAACAATTGTAAGCAATAGCAATACAATGGTTAAATTTTAAAAGACACATTAAATCATAAATGCAATATAAACACTGGAAAGAAACACATTACAATATACAATACATAAATCTAATTACAATTCACAGGAAGAACACAAATGTCTCTCACATTTCTTTTTAACATTTTACCACCTGGTAA